ATTCGCACGAGAGATGGAACTGGTTGCCCACCCTCCACATTGTGGGCGTGAGCGTAGGTGGAAGGCGGGAGGCACAGCTGTGGGTTCCGTTGGCTGGGTGTGTGGAGAGATGACCTATGTCACCGAAGGGCTCAGGTAAATGTGCCTGGAACTAATGAGAATGTAATTACCCCGCTGGGAACTACAGGGGCTCTGGAGGCCGCAGTCTGGGGCTAATGGAAACACGCAAAGGGGAGCACTGGCTGGAAGAAGTGGCCACTCTTGTACTTTCCTGAAGGTTCTGGTTCTGGAAAGTTCTTGGGTAGGGGCGATGAGAGGCGCCAGGAAGTCCATCTTAGACTGTCTCGGAACTAGCCCCTCCTTTACTCCTAAGTGGGGACAAAGTGGAAAGATGAGGGCTGCCAGCTGGGTGGCCTGGTGGCCGTGGCCAGAACTCCCGTCTTCTTGGCGGTCCCCACCTATTGTCTCTTGCTACCTCCCGTGCGTTTTGATAAAGCTGCAGGGAAGATAAGATGACCTTGACATACTCTAGGCCAGCGGTTCTCAACCTGTGGGTCGCGACCCCTTTGGCAGTCGAACGACCCTTTCACAGGGGTCGCCTAAGACCATCCTGCATATCAGATACAGTGGGGCCTTGACTTACGAGTTTAATTCGTTCCGAAACCGAGCTTGTTAAGGAGCTCGTTAACTCAAATTACTCTATCAACTCAATGCAAAAAATCTGCAGAGAGACAGCTGGTATCTCAAAAAACTCGTTAGTCGGGACACTGGTAAGTCAAGGCCCCGCTGTATTTACATTATGATTCATAACAGTAGCAACATGACAGTTATGAAGTAGCAACGAAAATAATGTTATGGTTGGGTCACAGCATGAGGAGCCGCATTTAAAGGGCCAGCAGGTGGAGAGCCACTGCCCTAGGCCCCGGCCTGGGAATGCCACCACCTAGCGCCCAGCGCCTCCCACTTACTGGAGGCCAAGCATTAAAGCCGGTGGCCGGGGCGCGGGCCGCAGGCTCTTCGAGCTCGGGTGGTGTCCGGCACCCGCCCCACATTCCTGGGGATCTAGATTGCGACTGAGTTTGTTCTGTGAGAGAGGAAAACCCGTCTATTGCTCATCCCGAGCCAGCCTCCAGAACCACCTGTGGGTGACAGATCCCCTGAAGGCAGCAGATGAGCCAACTTGCCTAAATGAGCATTTTCTTCCGTGTGTGTGTGAGTGTGTGTGTGTGAGTGTGTGTGTGAGTGTGTGTGTGTGTGTGAGTGTGTGTGTGTGTGAGTGTGTGTGTATGTGTGTGTGTGTGTGAGTGTGTGTGTGTGTGTGTGTGAGTGTGTGTGTGAGTGTGTGTGAGTGTGTGTGTGTGAGTGTGAGTGTGTGTGTGTGTGTAGTGGTGGGGGGTGGGGGGAGGCGCGGCTTGGCCACTCTGCTACACAGACCTTTAAAAATACAGATCCCCAGGCCCTCAGATCTGCTGATTCTGTCCCCAGGAGTGGGGCCCAGGGTCTGCATCCTCATTAAAGCCTCCCTCCCCCAAACCCACTTTAGAGAAGGGGCCTAAGGATAATTCCAAAATGGAGTCTTCTTTGCAAAGGCTGCTGGTGAGAGTGGAGGTTGAGTGGTGAGCAACCACGTTGATTTGCATGAGGGTGGGAGGGCAAAGAAGTTTTCCGCCACCTTGAGACCTGCTCGCCGAAGAACTCGAGGCTGCAATTATACATGCAAAGTGAAGCTAGGATTTCAGAGAAGTATCTGGAGAATTCAAGTCAGAAGAAGCACGTTCGTCTGAAATACCTAGATAATTAAAGAAAAAAATATATTCATTGCATAAATTGCTCATTAATTCACTCCTCTATGGGGGCATGCCGCTTAAAAGCAGGCGCCTTGATTAATCCAAGCTATACGAAATCCTCAAGAGGCCTTTTTCTCTCCCTGTGCCTGCATCTTCATATTCCCTTCCTCTCTAAAAAAATCATAAATGAAGTTGTCCCTTTGCAAAAATGTGTTTCAGATCTACCAATGTCCTCTCGTTGGTAGAATCAATTTAGGTGCGCTTTTTTCCCTTAAGCACACATTTTGAAATCAGATGCATTCTTTCCAGTTCACTGGAAATGCTAATTTTTTTCCCTTCACATTTTGAAGTTACATTGTGTGTGGCTGAGCATGTGAGAGCCTGCACAATAGCACTTCAGAGTGACTGAGGAGGGACGCGATCCCAATCAGAGGGAGAGCCGGGGAAATGGTTAATTTCACAGGCAGGCCACTGATTGGGAGAAGAATCTATAGAATTATTTATTTCCTTAAAAAAAAAAAAAAAAGCCCTGAAAATTCAAAAACCACTTGGAAAGAACAAACGTCTAATCCTGATGGGTTGATTTTTCAAGACCCTCGGACAGTGGTTCTCAACCTTGGCTGCACATTAGAATCACCTGGGAATCTTTTTAAAATCCTGATTTCTGGGCCTCATCCTCCGGAAATTCTGTTTCTTTGTTACTAATGTTGTGGCCCCACCCCATAACAAAGAAACAGAATTTCTGGAGGATGAGGCCCAGAAATCAGGATTTTAAAAAGATTCCCAGGTGATTCTAATGTGCAGCCAAGGTTGAGAACCACTGCTCTAAGAAGTGAAATTTCAGCACGACCGGTCCCCACTCATTCCCCGGCCTGCCTTCATCTCGACCTGGGCCACCTGCTGCCTCACCCCAGCTGCTGCTTTTCTGGTCAGCTGTGTTCCTCGGGTACGATGGCTTCTCCGTCGTCTACCTGGCGCTCCTGCTCCTGGTTCTGCTCTTCCCCACACCTTCCCTGGCACTCCGGGAGGCAGGCCGGATGACAGCCTCCCACAGGGACCACGGTCCTCCGCCGAACCCGCCTTTAAAACCATAGCCTTTTTATGTCTGCTGGCTGGAGCGAGAGTGCGTCTCTTTAGTGTCTTACTTGGGATCAATATTAAATACTCTGCACTGCCTTGTTTTACAAAGCTATGGAGGCCCACAGACATCCTGGGTCAGAACGCCCTGCGTGTAAACAGGGAGGCGGGTAAATAGAAACCATTTGCAGGCACGTAGGGACACTTCTTTCCAGTCGGTTAACACACTGATAGGTTGTTTTTACTGCTTGGTGAAGGGCCCGATCCCCAGTCTGGGGATTTTATAGACCAGTAGGAATAATTAGAGGGGAGAGAGCCCCGCTTCACCTTACCAAGGAAGGGCACTGGACAGCAACCACCTTCCCAGGAAAGGAGCAGCACCTGGTGCCCCGAGGGCCCGGCTACGCAGGGGCGCGTCCACCACTGTGCGCCCGGCACTGAGGCCGCCTCTGGGCCGGCAGGTCTAGGCACTGGGCATGGGTAATGCCCCCAAGCTCCGCCTTTGACTTGAGTGCACCCAGCCAGGTGTAAATATTCCACAGGACAGACCGGTACTGAAGCACTGCCCATCGTTTGCCTGAAATCCCAGTCACCGGTGTGCTGTGTTTTATCTGCTCCTGAGACGGACCAGCTCCTGTGTGTCCCCTCTCCTGGCCCTCACTGACTCCCAAGCTGACTCCCTGACTCGCCCGGGTCCCTCCTGTTTCCTGAGCCATGTGTGAGTTAAATAAACATGAAGTTACATGTACTGCCTCTAAGTTGATTTTTTACATATTTTTATAGCATAAGCTCTTCTGATTACAATAGACATCCATGCTTATTATTAAAATAATAAAATCCTGGCTGAAATGGATATTAGAGGACATGTCGCGATCTGGCTGCTGGATACCACCTGCCTCCACAACTGTCTGGGTCAGAGCCTCCTGTGCCTCCTCCGGGCCGGTGCCCACACGTGAGGTCACCCGCGTACAGATGCTGCTGTCGTTTCTGGGTTGTGATCTACTGAGATGGACATCTTCGCGCCTCGGGACATTAGCTTGGCCGTGTTCTGGACTGCTGCATGCCCGAGCTCTGATGCCACCACCCGTGTTACCGCATCTCGGACCCGCTTGCTCTGCTTGTGTGAACTAAGGAAGCTGGTCTCGCTCTAACTTCTTTCCACCAAAGCAATGCATGTGCATTGTTTACACACGCGTCAGAGCGCCTAAGAGTCCTTAATGCTCACGGGAATGAGGGTCCTGTGCCCGCCCTTGGGCCCTACTCTGCTCCTCTGGCCATTTCTTCACTGGTTCTAACCAACATGCTGATGTGGATGTTTCTGACTTAACACTGGGGGTCTCGGGCCCCCCAGCGCTCTGTGCTGGAGCCGCCGGTAAGCAGCACTTCCTGCCACCATGGAGACGCCCTCCATCAGCATCACCCAGGGCGCAGCCACCGGCCAGCGTGGCTTCTGAGCACTTGAAATGTAGCTCAGGCAACTGAGAAACAGGTGTCATTTCACCAAATTACAATGAAATTTCAAAGACGAGCCCTTGGCTCAGTTCTTGGAAAGCTTTAACGTTTGTTTGGGACAACTCGGGTGAGTGGATCTGTGTTTTCCACGCTAAAGTTTATGGGATTAAAATACAGGTCAAGTACTTCCGATGAAAAGTTAGTGTTCAGATTGCAAGGCTATAAAGAGCAGAACACACACCAGGTTTTGAAAACTTGCTGTGGCCAAAAGAACGTAAGGTATCAGATGGTTTTTCATATTGCGAACCTGTTCAAATAGCAACGTTTGGGTGTTTGAAGTCATCACTCACGGCCCCACCCCCACACAGAGCAGCCCGGCCCCAGAGGGTGAGCAGAGCTGTGACTTCAGGGAGGGGTTCCTCCTCAGCGGCCCAGAGATGCCAGAAGCAGGGCTTCCGGGGCCGCAGCCTCGGCCAGCCCTTCCGCGGAGGCGTCCCTGGCGGCAGGCGCGCAGGGGGGCTCTGTGGGCGGCGGGGGCTGCGGAAGCTGTTTTCCTCCAGAAACGAGAAGCGCTGGAGGTGCCCCCCAGGAGGTCAGCCAGCAAGAGCGAGGACCTGGAGCTCCGCTCTGAGCTCAGACCTGGGGCTGCAAGGAAGACCAAGACCAACAAGGGGTACAGGCCACGCCACCTCGGACTTTATTACTGAAACGTCCTCATGGACACAGTAGCAGCAACCGTAAGACCCAAGCACTTTGCATGATCGCCATCCTTGTTCGACAGACGAGGAAACCAGGCCGCGGGGAGTGCCACCCACTCAGTACAGCCCCATCGGTGGTGACACCGGACGCCAGCCCTGTTGTCTCCTTAGCGGGAGGCCTGCTGGGAAAACGTGCCCGCAGCTGAGTTCAGACAAACCGCTGGGGAAGGCCCAAGCTCAGCCCACCGGGATGGCGCCAGTGGCCGGCCGCCCCTGCCCGGCCCTGCTTGGCAGGTTGTGATGTTTCCTGGGCAGGTGCGGCGAGGGCTCCTGGACGCACGGCGGCTGGCTGGCAGGTGCTGCTCATCTCACCAGGGGCGTCAGGGTCCCCAGAAGCAAATAACTTGCCCAAGGTCACACTCCCAGCTCCCCGAGGCCGGGCGAGAAGCTGTCCATCTCAGAAGAAATCGTCTGTGTGAATGATTGCCCGCGCCACTGGCTCCAGGGTGATGACACTCGCGCTCACCTTGGCTGGACAGGCCCATCCTTTATCTTGTATCTGCATCTGTGCACGCCCCCGCGACGACACTGGGAGCCCAGCCCAAAGGCACCGGCAAGGACCTGTAATACAGGGAAGGGAAATCCGTCAGAGCCGCCTCCATCACATCCCTTCCTTCCCCCTCAGGCAGCTGGAGGAAACGGCCTTACGCCTGTCCCAGAGTGCCGCCCCGGGCACCAAAGTCCCAGACCAGGACCTGCTGGCTTAGCTAAAAACACAAAACCGAAGCCAAGCACACCTGCGTGCCCACGCCTGGAGGTGGCGGCCCAGAAGCGTCCTCTCTGCGTCAGTACCACCACCCCGAGGCCGGCCGGGGGGGTGGGATGGGATCCTGGCCCCGTGGCTCCTTCCACATGCCACCCAAGTAAGCACCTGACGGCCGACACCGGGACCGTGGGAACTGCGCTGTCCGTCCAACAGGTTCGGGCCCCTCCCCGCACAGCCCCGCAGGGGACAGATGTCCACACTTTATTTACCGCAGACAGACACAGCCCTGTTCCTCAGCCTGCTAACAAGCCGCGGTCGTTCATCACCCCCTTGCTCCTTTTTGAAATTCACCGAGCAGCGGGCGTCTCTTTAAACGCAGGCACATAATGCATTTTAAAGAGCATTTCTGCACAGATCCATTTGCTCGGCCTCGGCGCGGAGCGCGAGATGGAATGGTGTTTCAGCGCGCACCTCCCACGGCCTGTTTGGAATGCATACACTGAGATGTTATGTGGCTCTGGACCGCCAGGCTCCTGGGGGAGGCTGTCCTTAACACTCGGGCTGAGTGATGGTTCTGGCAAGACCCCGGGCTGGGCTGTGGGGGCTGCTAAGCCTGTCAGGGTGGGTCCTGTCCTCCAGAACTGAGCACCCAGGCGGGGCGCTGGGAGGCGTGTGTGAGAGGGGACCTGTAGGGCGAGAGCAGCAGAGTGGGAAGCCCTTCGGTGCGGGGAGGGGCTTCTTGCTGCTTGGCCCTGGGAGATGGGCGCTGGTGTCTCTGCGCCTCACTTCACGCCTCCGTGAGGGGTGCTGGGAAGCTGGTGCGCGGCAGGGTGTGCTGTAGGAAGAGCTGGCGTGAAGGATGGTCGGGGTCTCTCGAGTGGAGGTGGGAGAAAGGTCATTCCAGGGTGCAAAAATATCCCGGGTGAAGTAAATCTCTCTTGATGTGAAGGCAGTAGCTCTGGGCTGAAAAGGAGCATTGGCTAAAGTGGGGGGTGCAACCAGATGCCCTCAAGGCCCTCTGAACTCACCGGCCCCAAACCAGACTCAGGATCTCCCCGAATCTGGTCTCCTTCCCGAAAGTCCTGCCTCAGTGGGTGATAGCCGTGTCCAGCCAAATTCTGCAAGTTCTGTCCCTCACCCTCCACCTATAAAGACAGCCCTCTCCAGTCCCCTCCCCAACCCAGGGCACAGTCCCCCAGCGCTCCCTGGGCCTCTGCACTGCCCCACTGTGCCCACAGAGTCTTGCCCTTTCTAGTCTGTTCTATACACAGCAGCTACAGACATTCTTGTCAGTAAATCTCCCCGCCCCCATGAAGCCTGCAGCAGCTCCCCGTTGCTCTTCCGATAAAGACCAATATGTTCCACTTTGCTTCCCCCTTCACTAGGCCTCACTATCCTTCCTTCAGCCCAGTCCTCACCTGCTCCCAGAGCTGCCCTGACCTCTCTGACCTCTGATCCCAGCCGTAACTTTGCATGTGTGCCGTGCGTGCGTGCGTGTGTGTGCGTGCGTGTGTGCGTGCGTGTGTGTGTGGTTCTTCAAGGTCTCTGCTCCCGGACCGGATGGCAGAACAGGGGCTATTTTTGTTCCTCGCTGTATGCGGGGCACATCACAGACCCTGAATGGATGGACGCATGAGACCTTGAAGTTGCCAAGGAGTTTAAACACCGCTGTGCAGGCCACAGAGGCCCCCCAGACGGCGGTGTACGTTGGGGGCTGTTGGTGCTGCAGATGGTGGGGAGGGTGACAGAAGGCAGATACCCTCGGATGACTTTCAGAAGCACAGCGAAGAATAGGCGAGACGGAGACGAGGCTAGAACAAGAGCTGCGAAGGGGCCATTGCAATGCCTGTGGTCCTGGAAGGTGGGAGCACCCAAGTTCATGGGGCTGATGAAAGGAAGGGGCAGGTAGGAAAGACGCAGGTTCTGAAACAGGTGTTTTAGACACCACAACTCCACCAAGAAAGACACCCAAGGCCCTCGGGGTTTCCCTGGCTTCTGCACAAGTCCTCACCAGAAATGTCAGGATAACAGCCCCCCCGCCGCTTCCGCATGCCCAGGCCTCATCAGGCGTCCTGGGAGTGCCACAAAGCCCTCGATTTCAGCCTCCCACCCAGGCACCAGGTCCAGTGGGGTGTACGCCAGTCATGGGGGCCTGCCCATGTGCATCCATCTTCAAATTCCTCCTCTGCGAGATGTGGGGCTGGGGGAGGGGGCAGCATGAATCCTCTACTCTGCACCCAGGGGCTCCGCGGGCGCGGGCGTAGCACAGGTGACCAGAGCCCAGGCCCCCAGGACGGGTAGACCCACCTCCCCAGTCCCCGACAGCCCTGCACTGGCCACTGCAGCCCCGCGCCTCGGACGACAGGGCCTCCGAAGGAAGCAGAAGCCGGTTTCCGCTCCTGGCCCGGGTGGCAGCATGGAAACTCATGATTCATGTCCCGGGGAGGCTGCGGCGAAGCAATAAAGTTGTCGTTTGTTTTCCACTGCAGAGTCTATGCATTTTTATTTTGGCTGCTGCTGCGGCAGCAGGTCCTGGAGAGGTGATGCTGGCAGAGGCGAAGAAAGACGCTCAGAGGGAAGGCTGTGGGGAAGCGATGGTGAGGGTGGGTCTGGGGATGGGCTGCCTCTGGCCCCAGGAGCTTCCCAGGACATTTCTGTGCATATTTTGAGTTAACCATTCATCCAGGCACCTCAGAGCCTTAGGAAAAGGTGAAGGCACCCCCTGGTCCAGGCTGCTGGCCCCAATAGCTTTCAATGGGCTCACAGGTAGTGTCTCAGGCAGCCCAGGCCACTTCCAGAAGCTCATGCAGGACCCGAGGACAGCCCATGGCCCAGGAGATGCCATGTTGGCCAATAGCTCTTCCGGCACTAGCTTTTGTCCTTCAAGACTTTGATCTAGAATTCTCTGGGCCTGGGTGCATCTGAGCCGCAGTCCCCACACTGAAAAGAGTGATTCCCCGGGGGCGGGGGGGATGAGCAGGGGTCTTGGGGGAGTTCCTCTGACCCCTCGGGGTCCTAAGAGGCCACTACCTCCCCAGCCATCGGGCAGGGCCGGGGGTGGCAGGGAGGTCTCCAGCTGGCCCCCACACTCCCTCGGCCTGATCTGCGTCTCTCAGTGGCAAATCCAGGGGCCCTCACAGAGAGACGGGGCTGTGCAGGCCCAGAGAGCCAATGCCCGGCCCACTGCAGTTCTCCGTGAGGCCCCAGCGCCCCATCCAGAACTAGACACATGGACACTTTGCTCCAGATAAGCCAGAAGTCCCGATTCGCAGGTAGGGAGAGCTAGTGAGTGTACCAGAAGCAGGGAGAGGGAGAGGCGGACCTGCAATGCCACCCCAATCGCTCAACACCCTCCCCCCCACAGCCCCGTGGCTTCCGGGCTCTCCAGGGGAGCACTCTCCACGCCGAGCCGGCTGCCCTGCAGGCGGCTTTCCGATGCTGGGTGTCGCTCCTGCAGCCCCACTTGCTGAAAGGCCCCAGCTCTGCCAGAAAGCATGGTCCTGGGAGCAGGAGCAGTGGGGCAGCCAGGCGGAGAGCGGCCCCCAGGCTCCTTTTTGGAAACCTGCAGAGGAGGAGGTGCGGTGACCCTCAGGACTGCGTCTGCCTGAGCGGGGGTGGCGGGCCTCGGGCCAGCGGGGAGCAGGGGCTTGACCCGTTGGCTCCAAGCTCTCTGGGCCCCTCTGCAGCACTGCTGGCGCCTCCGGTCTGTGGAGCTGCCTCTGGCAGCTCCAAGGCTTCAAGTCAGTACCTGAGTCCAGGGAGGGGGGACCATCAGGACTTTGCTTCCACACCCCTCCTGCTCCGTCGGGATCCGGAGCCCATAGACTTGAAACCGCAGGGCGCCTCACCCACCCCTTGGGGTTTCGTTCGACCCTCGCAAACCATCCACAGCCCACACCCTCGATTTCAATGCGAGTCAGAGTCTATACCAAGAGCAAACGTCCCGGTGGCTCACTGAGAGCGCTGGGCCTGCTCAGGCCACAGGAGCCACCCACCTAAGCCCCCGGAGTTCCCTTTCAGATGCGACTCTTGGGTCCCTGGAAATGAAATGCTATTCGGTTATGAGTAGAAATGGCTGCAGGGCCCCTGGAGGACGGTCTCTTTGTCAGGTAGGACCCAGGCCGGACCGCTTCTCCGCTGCGAGGCTCCTCTCCTGGCCCCCTCCCAGGTCAGAGCCCGGCCCGCAGCGGTTTGCTGCTGGTGCTGACTGTGGAGGTCCCATTGCTGCCTCCCGGCTGCTCGAATCCTTCAGCTTCATCACTGTGGTGGAGACTTGCTGGGACCACCGGCCGCATAATATTCCCATTACATGGGAGGGCACATCTGACAGGGACTGCGGTCCCCGCGGAGGATTCGGAGATCCTGCTAATAGACTCGGCGATGGGTTCGCTCAGAGGCTGAGAATGAATGAGATTTACCTTCCATTTGTCGAGTCATCCGTTTGCAGGTGCTCTTTCCACGTTGGTGGGGAAGGCGGGCCGGGCGTCCTCGCAGCGTCCGTGGACGATGGGGGTGTCCCGTCCGTGGACGATGGGGGTGTCCCGTCCGTGGACGATGGGGGTGTCCCGCTGCAGAAACTGCTGGCAGGGATGCTTTGTTTTTAGTTTTGTTTTTTGTAACAGAAGGAGCTTTATTTGTTTTGTTTTTTGTTTGTTTTGGGTGCTTTGTTTTTGCTGAGCCGCCTTCAAGGCTCACGTGCACAGCAGCTGCTTAGCTGATGTTCTGTATGCCCAAGGACCTGTTTTATTTTTGTTTTTACCATTCTGTGCTCTCACTAAATTAAGACGCTGGCTGTGAAACTTGGCTTTGAAAAGTTTCCTAATTTTCAGACTGAGTCACTAATATGTTAGACTAT